GCATTTCAGGCTGGTCAAATGAAGATACTCTCACATGCTTATGACATGAGCTTAGGGGGGAGAGACTTTGACGAGGTTCTGTTTAGTCATTTTGCAGCAAAATTTAAAGAACAATACAATATTGAAGTGTATTCTAATGACAGGGCATGTAGGAGGCTGCATGTGGCATGTGAGAAGTTGAAGAAGATTTTGAGTGCAAATCTAGAGGCTGATTTTAGCGTTGAGTGTTTGATGGATGAAAAAGATGTTAAAGGCTACATCAAGAGGGAAGAATTTGAGAATCTGGCATCAGGACTATTGGAGAGAATTTCTGTTCCTTGCAAGAAAGCATTGGCTGATGCAGCCTTGACGGTAGAAAAGATTAGTTCTGTTGAGTTAGTTGGTTCAGGTTCACGGATTCCAGCTATAACTAGAATATTAAGTTCTCTATTTAAGAGAGAGCTCAGCCGCAGACTGAACGCAAGTGAGTGTGTAGCTCGTGGTTGTGCTCTCCAGTGTGCAATGCTGAGTCCTGTTTTCCTTGTCAAAGAATATGAGGTTTGAAAATTGAAACAAAACACTGATCCTTATCCTGTCTTCACGATATGTATATGTGTAGGAGAGTGGGTTATTGTGTCTGTATAGGTTGTTAGGTTCGAAATGTAACAAATACTAAATGGACTAAGTTGCTACCTTGGGTTCTAGGTTTATTTTCTGTATTTAGATTGTCCATTTCTCTTTTATCTATCTGTTTAGAAATATATTTAACTTTAATTTCTCTCATATTTTTTTTCGGAATGTTGCATTAGCTTTTATTAGTCTATATAGAGTTAATGTAATTTCCTGTGTTTGTTCAGGTCCAGGATGCTATTCCTTTTTCCATTGGACTTTCATCTGATGGAAAGGCAATTCGTGCAGGATTGCATGGTGGTGTACTCTTCCCAAAAGGCCAACCCATTCCAAGTGTTAAAATTCTCACATTTGAGTACAGTGATTTGCTCCATTTGGAAGCATTCTATGTCAATCCAGATGAATTACCACCCGGGGCATATCCTAAAATTTGTTGCTTCACAGTAAGCCTACTTTACAATTTTACTATGTTGTGAAGGAGTTTAGAATCTTGTCCATGATTCCAAGTTATCTATATTGCCTCACTTTTCTTTATTAATTATTACCCTCTCTGTTCTTGCTTCTTCTGTTGTGTGCTTCATGTAAGGCATGTGGTATAGTCTCTACAAGCTTACTGTCTTCTATATTTTACTGGTTTGGTATTTTTAATTCAACAGAAAAAAAAAAAAAAGAGTAGTCCAAGTCTGGGACTCGTTTATGTATAAAGCTATTGTATACACAGATGAGCAACCGCCCAAGTCCTCTGTCTAGTCCAGTTTAGGTACAGGCTTCAAGTGAGAAAATTTACTTTGAAGAATCTTGAGTCAATGGTTTGGAGACGTTTGGACAGTGGACGTTGCTATCAACACTCCACTAGTTTTTTTCTTCTTTTTTTTTTCTAGAAGTAAAATAGAGTATAAGGCATATAGGTTTGGTAATAGACGTTCTAATCTAACTCAGATGTTTAAATTTGAGACCATACCATACCATTAGTTACCTGGTTTTGGCCCATCATACAAAATGGCAAGGAAATTGAGGAGGATGTAAACCGTGAGATTCAAGCAGGGTAGATAAAAAATTGAGGAACTCTTTAGGGAATCGGGGGCAGTTTATGATTAGAAAGTAGCACTTGAGCTTCACGAAAATTTTTACTGAACAACTAAAACCTGCACACGTGGGATCCTTTAAAGTGAGGAGGTTGCACTTTAGAAGAGAAAATGTATTTGTAATTATTTGATTACAGATTGGACAATTGAGACTTTAATAACTTTGTTATGCATGTTCGTGTATCTTATTGTCATGATTTAAACAGTTTGATCATTTAATTAATGGTTATAAATGCACTTTGTTCTTTAAAATACATTCCCTCAATTTAGGGGGATCAAATCCAAGATCTGCATTGTTGTCCAAGTTGAATGTTGAGTGGTAAAAGGCCAAGAAAAAAATCAATATTGCCAAGTCATTGAGAAAGATTTAAACTTAAATGTGGTTTGTTTATAGACAGTATTTATGTTAAGACATTATGACGTTGTTTGATCCATGTACCCAACCCCATCTTGTGCTAAAAGGCTACTGTATTTTGTTGCTGAATCTTGAGACAATCAATAGACACCTCCCACTTTCTTCAAGGAGATAAAGGGTTCATTAGTAAATACCATAGCAACCATCGTTTGTTCTTTTCTCAAAGAAAGTCATTGTTGTAAAAGTATCAGTTGTTATAGCAATATGAGAATCTGTAGATGTGCACATGCTTGAACAAATCATCGTGGTCTTAGGAGAAGGGGAAGCAGATATGGTGGATCTAACACCGTACACATCTATTTTCCAATTTTCTCAAATGGAGAGAAATGACAATATTTACTTCTTTAATATCTATAATGTCAATTGGTTAACATTTGCTTATGTCTATTATATGATAGAAGACATCTAAATATCACAGGACAAACAAGTTATGATAAATTGTTCTATGTTGCCATTCCTTGTGCCAGTGATCATGAAGTGTTATGTATGCTTATGTCTGCACCTTGTTTATGTACACTTATCCATTTGTTTGTCACCTCTATTCAGATTGGTCCTTTCCATGGATCCCATGCAAGTAAGGCAATAATTGAAGTTCAAGTACAACTAAATTTGCATGGCATTATTGGTATTGAATCAGTTACGGTAAGAAACCTTATTTTTATCTCTTCATATGGCATTATTAGTTTCAAAAGATCTTTCTAAGCAGATGGACTTTTTTTTGTCTTTTAGTTGGTTGAGGATCGTGTGGATGATTTAGGTACAACAGACGATTCTCATTCAAATTCTGAAACAGTCAATATTGCACCTGTTTCTGAGACAATGGAAAATGCCTCAGATGATAGTATCAATAAGAAGTTTGAAGCTTCTCGTCATTCTGTACGTTCTCTTGTGCTGTTCTCTTTTCTCCCTGCACACCTTTTTTAAGTGGAAGATGCGAAGATATTAGCAAATTGTCCTTTAAACGTGCAAAATTATATTGCTAAATTTTATTATATGCTTATTTATGATGCTGAATTCTGTACCATATCTGTCAGACTCTTGCAATTCATTTTTTTTATGTGTGTGGTGTTGTATCTGTACATTTTTATCTTGTTGAGATTGTTTTGATTGCAGATATGATTCATGTTGGTGTTTTGAGAAAATAAAAGTTACTATCATGCCTTGTTACAGGCTGATGGTACAAGAAAAGATAAAGCTAACAGAAGGCTTCATGTACCAGTGACTGAAAACATTTATGGTGCAATGACCAAGGCCGAGATATTGGAAGCTCAAGAAAAAGAACTCCAGTTAGCCGATCAGGACAGAGCTACTGAGCTAATCAAAGACAACAAGAATCTGTTGGAGTCTTATATTTATGAAACAAGGAGTAAGGTACAAATTGAATATCTCAGTGATATGTAGACATGGCGGGTTTGTGAGATTCAGATACATTTTATGAGTAAGTTGTTGTGTAGTCATTATTGAATAATTGGTTTTTTAATTTATTTGATTGCATGAATAGATCTTCAGCACATATCTGAGCTTTTCGAGTGAACATGAGAGGAAGGACGTATCTAGGGGCCTGAAAGAGACCGAGGAATGGCTCTATGATGATGGTGGTGATGAAACTGTAGATGCTTATTCTGCAAAACTAAAAGATCTAAAACAGGTTACTTTTGTTTCTCTAATCTTTTGCAAAACATGTTTGCCACGCCACACTTCTTTTTTACATTCTTCGTCTTCTTCTGTAGCTGGTGGATCCAATTGAGTATCGATACAAAGACAGAGAAGCAAGACCACAAGCTACAAGAGACTTGTTAAGCTGCATTGTAGAGTATCGAATGTCAGCAGATTCTCTTCCACCCCAAGATAAAGAACTGGTACAATAATAAATAGATGAATGAATGTAATTGTGGGATGTTGCCCTCAGTATCAGGTTTTGTGTGACAACTTTATTTTCAGGTCATAAATGAGTGCAATAAAGCAGAGCAGTGGCTAAGAGAGATGAGGCAGCAACAAGATCTTTACCCTAAAAACTCTGATCCAGTATTAATATCAATTGATATCCAGAGCAAGACAGAGGAATTAAACTCGTATGGCTTTTTTACCTTTCCGTATTCCTTTTCAGATGTTCATGATTGTAGGGTAATATGATAATTCAATTGGGTCTAAATCATACACCTGCTGAAGCAAAGCATTGCTGAATTGCTCCAGTTTAATCCAATTGTCATTATATACGTTCATTTTATCTCAAAACTAATGACTGTTATATTTTTATGGATTTCAGAGTATGCCAAAAGGTATTGAAATCCAACGGTTCTCCAATTCCAAGAGATGAGGGTACAGACAAACAAAATACCCCATGAAACGAAGATATAACATTATATTAGGGCTAATGGCTTCTGACAAATGTGAACATTTTTTATTCTTCACACTTGTTCCCCGCTTCAGGAGTTGAAAGGGAAATCTTTTTATTTTTTGTCCCACCTTCTACTGAAGGCATCCAATGATTTTATCTTCATATTTTAACTTAGTCTTCAAATTGATCCTGTACCATGGAGTAAATGTTTATAAACAATGGTTATATATTCTTTTAAAATGCACACGTGGTATAAGGGTACAAAAATGCGGTGTTTACGTTTTAATAAAATTTAGATCGCTTATCAAGATTTCTTGAAGTTAAATTCCTAGGAATTTTGGAGTGGAAAGTCCCAGTTTTAGAATTTATACAGCACGCCAATCTCAGGTTCATAGTTTAAGAATGTCATTGTACCCAAAATTATCTTTACATTTGTTCATATAAATGCAATATGATAAATAGCTCCGAATGGAGGCACATAGATAAACAGAAACCAGAAAACCCAAACAAATTAGGCGAAGCATCACGTATAATCAAGATACAGGGGGAAAAATTCTAAAAGATTGCTCTTATCATTCCTATCGTTCATTTATTATTCTTTCATTTACAAATACCGGAAAGAAATTAAGCATAATTAACAATGCAACAAGCTCGATCAAAAGAATAAAAAAACCCAAGTGGTGAATCAAGTGTGAACCGAAACATTATTTTGGATCCCAATTGAATCATTATCAAAGCTACACTTTCATCGTGACCACCTTAGGTTCGTGTGTACTGTACATAAACATTCATGGCTCGCAATATATATAATTTGCAAGGATTTTTTAGCATCAAAACTTTCACTGAGCAACAATCCCCCTTAATCAGTTTCCTCAAGGGATGCTGCATACTGGATTTCTCTATCTTCCTTGTTCCCATCCAAAACATGATACAGGAAACTTCGGGCATTTAAACAGGAATTGAACCTATATGGTAATGCTAATCAAAAGATCCGCAAGTAAATGACTGTATGTGGACCAGGGATAAATGTCTAGCCTTCAAGTGTTCAGTTTCTCTTCTTCCTGGCTTTGGTAGTCTTGGAACCTGTTCTCTTTTTTGATTTATTGAATACGGTTCTACTCTCCTGAAAGTGTCAAAGGCATTTAGTCATTTAATGCTACCATAACCAAAAGGATAACAACCACAGAATGGTATGCAAGTAGACGCACCTTCCGATATTGTACATAAGCACTCCGGCCTGTCAACTCCTGCCCACTTTTGTTGACATACACCTGCAGCAGGAAAAAAAGAATCAGGTCCTGATAGATGATACAATGTGACAAAATAGGTTAGGTGGGATACCTAATATGCATATCAGATCATGCAGCAAAGCAAGATATAAATCTTCAGTAACATCATGTATGAGCTTTTAGCAGTTCAATTTACACAACACTAGATAACAGCCCACATCTTCTAATAACTATTGTCTAACATGAGAATCGTAAGTAAATTTAACCAGTTAATGCTTAATATCATTAAACTTAATTTTTTAGCATTTTCGCATACCTTTCTTCCTTCTGGAGATGTATACCAATGACCGGCAGATTGACCACTTGCTTGGACCCGTCTTTTGCCAGCATCCTTTGGCGAACTGGCACAGCTCCCAGGTTCCACCCAATCCCCAGAAGCACGTGATTGGTTTGCAGGGCTTGATTTGTTACCTTTACCTTTTGAGACACTATTCTTAGTGCTATTCCTCTTTGTTGCTTTCTTTCTAGAAGATTCCCCATGGCTAAATGGAGAAACAATTTTGGGATCCACCCAGCCTTCAGAAGTATTGAAAGATCCCTCAAATACCAAATTACTGGATGTGTTTTTCCCCCTTGTTGAGCCGTTTACACAAGCATTTTGAACCCCCTGCGTGTTTGAAGCTCTTCCATTGCCAAATTGTCCCCTAAAATAAAAATACACCAAAAACAATACGTAATACAAAACGCAACCATTGTCTTTTTAAATCACTACCAGTGATTAATTAAAAACGAGCACGAGCTATGACTTACATGTAATCAATGTGTGAGGTATTAGGTTGCTGATTCACTCTGTTTATGGCACCTAATGGATTGAAATTCCGAAAGCGAGTGTGAACTAACTGCTGAATTCTCGGATCCTCATGGAAAAAGTACTTATGAGCAGGATAAACTAGGTCCACAGATTCCCATTGTTGTTGATTCCTTTGACAGCTAGAACTAACCCCAGGATACCTCTCATTGTGACTTTCATTCACATCACCCCGGACTTCCTTGCACTTGTTAGAACGAAAGTACTCTTCACACAGCTCATTAAAAGCTGGTGTTGGCACAGAAACATTCTTCACTGGCGAAAAATCTTTCCATAGAGAATCGTTTATATTCTTATCAAAAGATGCTTCCTTGTTTTTTTCTAAATGATTGTTAAAGTAAACTTCATTATCCCCGCCAACATCAACATCTGAATCGGAATCAATTAGTCGAAACTCAGGAACAGAATCATTTTTTAGGGGCGAAAAATCCTTCCAAAGATCCACATTTTTGTTGTCATCAAAAGATAATTTCTTATCTTGTTTTAAATTGTCGTTAGGGTTAACATTATTGGCGCCACCACCAACATCCACGTCGGAATCATCGGAATCAATTAACTGAAACCTACGGAGAGGACTAGTCGTTAACTTGGGAAACATCAAGCCACTCTTCCCTGTTTCTAACCTAGAAGAAGCAGGAACATCATCCGAATGTTCCTTTCTTTTCCCATCTCTGGAAGAGTTACTACAATGATGAGGGGTTAAACTGAAAACTCTACTACCATTCAACGAAATTTTTGAGCTGCTACACACGGAACGATTCGATGCCGATAGAAGCGTATGCACTGGTGATAGATATTACAGCAAAAAAAAAATCAATTTAGAACGAAAAAGAGTATATTATATTATTTAAAATTGAGAAGCGGAGAGAGAAAAAAAGGTTTTAGCTGACCTTACCTTGATCGGGATCTTCCTGCGAGGAGAACTCCTCGATATCGTCATCCACGTCGGCGTCGAGGGACGGCGAAGGTGGTCCGCGGCGGAGGCGTTTGAGAAGGGGGCGCTGCGGGTCGGGTCGAGTGTCGGGTTCGGAGTCGGAGACATGGGCGGTCGGAGAAGGAGGTGGATTGAATGGGGAATGCGGGGGCGTGTCGAGACCTAGGGAAAATGAGGGCACTTCGGAGTTGGCCATGGAAATTAGAAGGGAAATTGAGAACGACAGAGAGAAATAGAAAGGGAATGGATTTTAGATTGAAGTAAATAAGGGTTTGTGGATTCGAATTTGGGGAAAAATGGAGGGAATTGAAATTTCTTGCTGGCGCGAGTGAACGATGAAGTGTGGCGAATATTCTCTTACAATGTCTCTCAACTTTTTCCTTTTCTGCATATTTAAATTTAGTTACTTTAGTCTCTTGGTTTTTATTTACAATAAGCTCTTTTTATTCACATTTCATTGAATATAAGTTATCATAATTACCTTGATTTATGTAATCAATTATTTTAATCGTCTAATTTAAAGTAATCTAATTACAGATTATCCTGAAATTCAAAGTATATATACAATGTACTAATTGCAGAATAATTGCAAATTTAAAAAAATATGATCTCCTAAGGAAACAGTTTGATTAATAAACGCTGTCCTTAAGCATTACTTATCATTGACCAAACAATGAATAAATGCTATCCTTATTATGCATCAAACAGAAAGCTAAACATTTTAAAATTTCTAATTTATATGAGAGTAAAAGGAGGAAAAAGAAGATAATCGTGCCCTTTTCAACCTATGATAGAAAAATCTATTTTTGTAGTTACATGCCTATCTAAATATATTTTCTAAAACCAAACTAAATAACTAAATCAATAATTTAATTTTTATATATTGATTGCATGTTTGTATAACATTTTATGTTCTTTGTGTCCAAATGTTTTACTTACAAAATTTCTTAATAACATTTTATGTTCTGTGTCCACGAAAGATATAAAGTTTCTTTGTCGTGTACTCCCATAACATATGTTAAAACGTTCCATGAGTCAGAATTTATTTCAACAACTATAATCAGCAAACAAAAGAAAAACAATGCTGATTTCAATTTCATTGCTTTTCATTAGATATACTTGAAGGGAACTAATTATCAAAGTCAGCAAAAAAGAAGACGGGCAGAAAGCGAGATAAATGTCGCAGAACAAGTATGAAGTTATATTTTTCTGTCCCAGAACCTACTAAAATACAATCTACAACAATACTATGCGACATCAATGATAGAAAATAAAAATCTGAAGTAAATAATACTATCATCTATACTTTATGACAATGTTTTTTCCCTTCACATTTGTCCTCTGACTAGAATTGATACAAGTACAAAACAAGCTTACATGTTTCTCATAATTTTTCTCAAGACCCTACCTAAAGAAGTAAGGCTAGTAATCCCATATTACAGAGTGAAGGTTTTGCCCAGATATCTCAGGGTATGAGGCATTTGGTACAAGAGGGTGAAAAGGGTATCTGCTTAAAGCTTAATATGAATGATGAAGAACTGAAATAAGAACTAATACGAGGCAGAAAATTGCAACTATTCATGACCCCTCAGCACTTTTGAGCAGATTTTCCGTGAGCAGCATATATATGTACCTTCACAATCATTTATCAGTTATCCAGGTTGCCAATCTGTGCAATGCCGATGCCCTTAACTAAATCTTCTGTTTAAGAACATGGCGCAACTGAACCTTCTGGCTTTCCATTCTAGCCTCCAAAAGTCTGGCTTTCAAACTATTCTTCTGTGCACCGCGAGGAATGCATCCTTTCATACCACCTTTATGTGCATGTGGACTTCCCGACTCAGGACTCAACTGGTATAGAAGGTCTTGGGGGCTCAATCCACCTTTACCTGATCCATGATCAGGGGACATTATGACCCCATTAGATAACCTTCCATTTGAAAGCTTTCCATTCATTTCCTCTAGAGAGATTATCTTGTAATTATCCCCGTTGTTTGGGTATGACCTCCAAAGCTTTGTTATGGATGATACCTTCTTTGACTGCTTAGTAGGTATAGAGCACACTTCACTTATTTCAGTTATTGGTGTCTCCTCACCAGCAGTTTCTTCCCATTCAAGTACACTTCTCCCTGAGACATTACTCTCTCGATGATTCCTGTTCAAAGATAGGGTACTCCCTTCTGGTGAATAACTCGAGCCTTGATCGTCAACATGGCTCACAGTTTCCCATCCACTTTCATCTCCATCTAGATCCCCGTTATCATCCACAAATACATCAGAACGCCTCTGAATGCCATCCTTAGTTATTGCATTGGCTTCAGGACTCACAATGTGAATATTCGAGGCATGACTAGTAGAACTGTGAGAAGCACGTGGTTCAATCTCCCTCTCATTTGTTTCACCAAAATTTGCTTCTTCAAAAATAGCAAAAATGTCATCAGAGTTTGGGGGTTCGTATGAAAATCCCTTGATGTCTTGAATGTTCATCGCAGCTGCAGCCTGCTGAAGAGACTGTGCCTCTCTCAGCTCTGTTGTTATCGGATCTGCACTTCTTGATTTGATAAAACTTTCCAAATCTGAAACAAGTTTATTCATCTGTGAATACTTCTCTTCAAGAGCAACTTTTGCATCTATCAACTTCATTTGAACACGTTCTTCACGCCATACTTCCGCCATCTGTAACATCTTCCTCTCTTCTTCCACTTCTTCCCTATGTTTCATAGATTCCCTCTTCAATGCTTCAACTTCAGCCTTGTCTTCTCCAATTTCCTTGGCAAGCTCATCACATACTTCCTCAATCAATTCTCTGGCCTTCCTTTCCTTGTCATAATCTTGCATGTAGCGCTTTGCAGAGAGTTTGGCATCGGCCAACTCATTTACCAACCTTGAATTGACAATTTCAATCCGCTGGCGATTTTTTCTTTCTCTACTCAACTCTGATTTAATGTCATCGATGTATGCATGGATTTTCTCATGCTCTCTGCTCCTCCATTGCGCCCTTTCCTCACTGACATTCTTCAGGAAATGTTCAAGCTTCTTTTTGGAGGATCGATGCTCAGTCTCAAGCTCCTGAATTCGTGCCCGAGCCTGCTCTAGTTCAGCTCCGAGGGCAGATACCATAGATACTGCACTTGCCTTTTGGTCAAGAAGTTTCATGTGTCTGTAGATATGATGTGCCTCTTCATCTGACGTTTTTAAACATAGAGGATCCCATTTTGTTGCACCCTCCCTTTCAGTGTTGGAAAACTGGAAAGGTTCAGGCTGAATAGCACAAAGTAGGTTTAATATTAGCACCTTAACTATTTGCTCTTTCACTTTAATAAGTAAAAGCATAACACTTTGAAACTCATTGCTCATTTAGAATGTAGAGGCTAATTACAACGAGTATGTCTACATGAAAAAATTGTAGTCTAAGTCATTTCTACGCAGATCTATACTTCTATACATAGCATGGATCAATGCAATAATCAGCCTTATTTGTTAATTCCCAAGTTGCCATCAAATAAGCCATTTTTCTATAGAGCAGGTACAGGGTCCAGTTTTAACTTGAGTTATTACATGTATATGACAATCACTCAAAAATCTTCGATTGCAAAGACTGAAGAGCTGTAAAACATCTAATGGTAATATTATATTCTAGAAATAAGAAAATTCATACCTCACAGAAGTGTCCATTCTTTGCCCTAAATATGGAACGGGGACTTTGCAATGGATTCTTCTTCAGATCGAATTCATGGATCATGCCATTTGGATGACCAAGGAACCGGTGCCTTGCGTGGACATTTCCATGCTGCAGATAAGTGACATCACATCAGTAATGAAAAACGGAAACCTATCAAATTAAAATTGCAAAGCAGCAAATTGATCCACAAATGAAGACAATAATAGAGTACATAGAAGATAATCAGTTCTCTAATTCAACTGCAATGCACAGATAACAAATAACCGAATCTCGTATATAATGAATATCCAATAGCAGTCCAAACTTACTTCCAAACAAGCATAAAAGAATACGACTTTGTAAAACCAATAATATTAACACGGCAGAAACAGCATTTTGTTTCACATTCTGTCAAACAAGACCCGATATTAATGCAGTCTGGATGGCGATGATTTAATCAAGCAAAAATGGACAAAGAATCAATCCTTCCACCGAGCACATTTTTTGGGTCCGGGAAATAATTCTTGAAAACAACTACAACAGAACGTCAACTATTTACACTGACAAACCCTCCTCGAATCAATTCTCAAATAACCCTTCACAATCAACCAACAGCAAAATCATCATACAAAAACACTTCCCAACAATAAACTATAATTCTTTTCTCTCCACGAGGGAGGGCCTACCATAAAGTAGATGGAATAACCTAATAGCCTATAGCTGCAAAATCAATTTTAAATCAGAAACCGCAAAAAAACATGCAAGATGAAATAAAACTCACACGGGAACGAAAAAAAACAAGGGATCTCAACACAAACAAGAGAAAAACTAAGAACGTAAGGGTAATCGACGGAGATCCCACATTGACCGTTACATGGAAAATATAGTGTACATACGAGGGAAACAATAGTTTTTGCCGTTAAGTAAGCCTTAGTGTAGAAACTCAAGTTCTACCTTATGTTCCAACCCCTTCCGGCCATCACCCGAGACAGTCTCCGGCAGATGCAACCGCCAAAGCCCGGCGGCTAGTCTCCGCGCCGACACGGAAACCTCCGTTTGCTTTTTGGCGCTCCGGCACGTTCTCCGACGAGACCCCGACAAAGAAGACTTCTGGTCCTCTTCGAGTGGATCCTCATGGATCTTCCACTTCAACAGAGGGGTTTCAGGTCTGCTCCGTTTTCCACCGTGTCTCCTCAACCGTGTCCCCGGAGTTCTCGGTTTCCGCCGCTGGAAAGGTCGCGCCGGTTCAAGATCCCAGTCCGGCGAAGGGTTGCTCACGCCCCTCGAAGAAATGCCCGCCGGGAAAGTCGCCTTGCCGGAATACTTCATCGTCGCCGGCGAGTCTCAGCCATCAGAGTTACCTACTAAATATATGCTAATACTCGCCGCCTTGCGAAAATGAAACAATGACTGCTCCAAAAAGAGAAAATGAAAACAGTGTGAGAGAGAGAGATAGAATCTGTGTGTTGTTGAAGTAATGAAGTTCGTGAAATGTTTGTATGAGAGAGAGAGCACACGAGGAAAGTACAGAAGAGAGAGAGTGATGAAGATAGAGAGTTTCACTGTTTCAAAGATTTTGCTGAGAAAAAGGACGAACGAACACAGTGATAATACAAATACATATACGAGAGAGGTGTATATCGTGCCGTATGCTTATACGGTCAACGTATTTATTATCACGATGATTCCACGCGCGTGAAATCTTTATACGGTGTCGTTTGGCCCTACTTTGATTTGTAAGCTGCTTTGCTTGTTATGGTTGCTGGTGGAAGAGACGTTGTGATTTGAATGATCATGGATGGTGGGGTTTTTATTTTTTATTTATTCTGCTTTTAAGAAGTTCAAATTATTAATTTATATATGGAAATCATTTTTCAATTTCCAATTTAAATCGATTGGTTCTTTTTGAAAAATTTAACTTTATATTACTTTAAAAAATAATTGTAAGGATTTTAGTGATTTTGAAACCCCGCTCCGTCTCTTGTAAAATTTTCTGAAACGATATATTCCAATTTACTAAAAAAGGAAAATTGTTAAAGTTTTCTGCTATGATTTTTTTAATTGGATAATTTATTCATGGTACAATGTATATGTTTTTTATGTAANTCTTGTAATTATCCCCGTTGTTTGGGTATGACCTCCAAAGCTTTGTTATGGATGATACCTTCTTTGACTGCTTAGTAGGTATAGAGCACACTTCACTTATTTCAGTTATTGGTGTCTCCTCACCAGCAGTTTCTTCCCATTCAAGTACACTTCTCCCTGAGACATTACTCTCTCGATGATTCCTGTTCAACGATAGGGTACTCCCTTCTGGTGAATAACTCGAGCCTTGATCGTCAACATGGCTCACAGTTTCCCATCCACTTTCATCTCCATCTAGATCCCCGTTATCATCCACAAATACATCAGAACGCCTCTGAATGCCATCCTTAGTTATTGCATTGGCTTCAGGACTCACAATGTGAATATTCGAGGCATGACTAGTAGAACTGTGAGAAGCACGTGGTTCAATCTCCCTCTCATTTGTTTCACCAAAATTTGCTTCTTCAAAAATAGCAAAAATGTCATCAGAGTTTGGGGGTTCGTATGAAAATCCCTTGATGTCTTGAATGTTCATCGCAGCTGCAGCCTGCTGAAGAGACTGTGCCTCTCTCAGCTCTGTTGTTATCGGATCTGCACTTCTTGATTTGATAAAACTTTCCAAATCTGAAACAAGTTTATTCATCTGTGAATACTTCTCTTCAAGAGCAACTTTTGCATCTATCAACTTCATTTGAACACGTTCTTCACGCCATACTTCCGCCATCTGTAACATCTTCCTCTCTTCTTCCACTTCTTCCCTATGTTTCATAGATTCCCTCTTCAATGCTTCAACTTCAGCCTTGTCTTCTCCAATTTCCTTGGCAAGCTCATCACATACTTCCTCAATCAATTCTCTGGCCTTCCTTTCCTTGTCATAATCTTGCATGTAGCGCTTTGCAGAGAGTTTGGCATCGGCCAACTCATTTACCAACCTTGTATTGACAATTTCAATCCGCTGGCGATTTTTTCTTTCTCTACTCAACTCTGATTTAATGTCATCGATGTATGCATGGATTTTCTCATGCTCTCTGCTCCTCCATTGCGCCCTTTCCTCACTGACTTTCTTCAGGAAATGTTCAAGCTTCTTTTTGGAGGATCGATGCTCTGTCTCAAGCTCCTGAATTCGTGCCCGAGCCTGCTCTAGTTCAGCTCCGAGGGCAGATACCATAGATACTGCACTTGCCTTTTGGTCAAGAAGTTTCATGTGTCTGTAGATATGATGTGCCTCTTCATCTGACGTTTTTAAACATAGAGGATCCCATTTTGTTGCACCCTCCCTTTCAGTGTTGGAAAACTGGAAAGGTTCAGGCTGAATAGCACAAAGTAGGTTTAATATTAGCACCTTAACTATTTGCTCTTTCACTTTAATAAGTAAAAGCATAACACTTTGAAACTCATTGCTCATTTAGAATGTAGAGGCTAATTACAACGAGTATGTCTACATGAAAAAATTGTAGTCTAAGTCATTTCTACGCAGATCTATACTTCTATACATAGCATGGATCAATGCAATAATCAGCCTTATTTGTTAATTCCCAAGTTGCCATCAAATAAGCCATTTTTCTATAGAGCAGGTACAGGGTCCAGTTTTAACTTGAGTTATTACATGTATATGACATTCACTCAAAAATCTTCGATTGCAAAGACTGAAGAGCTGTAAAACATCTAATGGTAATATTATATTCTAGAAATAAGAAAATTCATACCTCACAGAAGTGTCCATTCTTTGCCCTAAATATGGAACGGGGACTTTGCAATGGATTCTTCTTCAGATCGAATTCATGGATCATGCCATTTGGATGACCAAGGAACCGGTGCCTTGCGTGGTCATTTCCATGCTGCAGATAAGTGACATCACATCAGTAATGATAAACGGAAACCTATCAAATTAAAATTGCAAAGCAGCTAATTGATCCACAAATGAAGACAATAATAGAGTACATCGAAGATAATCAGTTCTCTAATTCAACTGCAATGCACAGATAACAAATAACCGAATCTCGTATATGATGAATATCCAATAGCAGTCCAAACTTACTTCCAAACAAGCATAAAAGAATACGACTTTGTAAAACCAATAATATTAACACGGCAGAAACAGCATTTTGTTTCACATTCTGTCAAACAAGACCCGATATTAATGCAGTCTGGATGGCGATGATTTAATCAAGCAAAAATGGACAAAGAATCAATCCTTCCACCGAGCACATTTTTTGGGTCCGGGAAATAAATCTTGAAAACAACTACAACAGAACGTCAACTATTTACACTGACAAACCCTCCTCGAATCAATTCTCAAATAACCCTTCACAATCAACCAACAGCAAAATCATCATACAAAAATAATTCCCAACAATAAACTATAATTCTTTTCTCTCCACGAGGGAGGGCCTACCATAAAGTAGATGGAATAACCTAATAGCCTATAGCTGCAAAATCAATTTTAAATCAGAAACCGCAAAAAAGCATGCAAGATGAAACAAAACTCACACGGGAACGAAAAAAAACAAGGGATCTCAACACAAACAAGAGAAAAACTAAGAACGTAAGGGTAATCGACGGAGATCCCACATTGACCGTTACATGGAAAATATAGTGTACATACGAGGGAAACAATAGTTTTTGCCGTTAAGTAAGCCTTAGTGTAGAAACTCAAGTTCTACCTTATGTTCCAACCCCTTCCGGCCATCACCCGAGACAGTCTCCGGCAGATGCAACCGCCAAAGCCCGGCGGCTAGTCTCCGCGCCGACACGGAAACCTCCGTTTGCTTTTTGGCGCTCCGGCACGTTCTCCGACGAGACCCCGACAAAGAAGACTTCTGGTCCTCTTCGAGTGGATCCTCATGGATCTTCCACTTCAACAGAGGGGTTTCAGGTCTGCTCCGTTTTCCACCGTGTCTCCTCAACCGTGTCCCCGGAGTTCTCGGTTTCCGCCGCTGGAAAGGTCGCGCCGGTTCAAGATCCCAGTCCGGCGAAGGGTTGCTCACGCCCCTCGAAGAAATGCCCGCCGGGAAAGTCGCCTTGCCGGAATACTTCATCGTCGCCGGCGAGTCTCAGCCATCAGAGTTACCTACTAAATATATGCTAATACTCGCCGCCTTGCGAAAATGAAACAATGACTGCTCCAAAAAGAGAAAATGAAAACAGTGTGAGAGAGAGAGATAGAATCTGTGTGTTGTTGAAGTAATGAAGTTCGTGAAATGTTTGTATGAGAGAGAGAGCACACGAGGAAAGTACAGAAGAGAGAGAGTGATGAAGATAGAGAGTTTCACTGTTTCAAAGATTTTGCTGAGAAAAAGGACGAACGAACACAGTGATAATACAAATACATATACGAGAGAGGTGTATATCGTGCCGTATGCTTATACGGTCAACGTATTTATTATCACGATGATTCCACGCGCGTGAATCTTTATACGGTGTCGTTTGGCCCTACTTTGATTTGTAAGCTGCTTTGCTTGTTATGGTTGCTGGTGGAAGAGACGTTGTGATTTGAATGATCATGGATGGTGGGGTTTTTATTTTTTATTTATTCTGCTTTTAAGAAGTTCAAATTATTAATTTATATATGGAAATCATTTTTCAATTTCCAATTTAAATCGATTGGTTCTTTTTGAAAAATTTAACTTTATATTACTTTAAAAAATAATTGTAAGGATTTTAGTGATTTTGAAACCCCGCTCCGTCTCTTGTAAAATTTTCTGAAACGATATATTCCAATTTACTAAAAAAGGAAAATTGTTAAAGTTTTCTGCTATGATTTTTTTAATTGGATAATTTATTCATGGTACAATGTATATGTTTTTTATGTAAAAGTCTACTTAAGATATTATTTAAAACAAATCTAATATATGCTACCTAAATTAATCACTTAATAAAACTTGATTTTACCGTTTTCTTTGGATAATTTGCTGATTTAATTGAGTATTTCTTTTAATCTTGTGTCATTTGATTATTATTATTATTATTATTATTATTATGCACAGCATTAAGAAAATCCAGAAATTTCAAATTCACAAAGGTCAAAGTCTTCAAAATAATATAACAAAAATAAAATCTTTTAACTACAACGAATAATCGTATTAAATACAGATGATAATAATATCAGATGAAATCTCACTGACTTAATTTATTAGAAGAATAAAAATGTATAAAGAAACAGTAAGATAAAATAAAATAAAAAATCAAATGCGAAAATTCTACAGTTAGTAGTGCTTGTTAAAGGTTTAACATATAATTAAGGAGAACCAATCAAGCATTTATATAAACCTCCTTAATTATGGTCAAATCAGGAAGGAAAAAAAAACTTTGAATCAGTGAAATTAAAAGCAACAAATACAAATTTTTAATCGATAAACCCTACCACATTGATTATTTTATTTTTCCTGCAATATTAAAAATTGAAATGAAAACATATTTTAACACAATTTTTTATTAACATTTTAATATAACAGATTTATTATTTATTTATTATTATGTTAACGTCTTTAAAAAACAAACGTTTCATTGTGAAATAATTGTGAAACCAATAAAATAGAAGAGTTTTCAGACCTAATTGTTGGAAAATTAGGGTACAATTTGGCATGGCGTGATGAGCTGAAACCAAAGCTTGGCACGCGCGAGGAACGGAGAGTGTAACCCACGCGTTGCTTTGGTTTCTCAGAAAAGGTAGTGGCGTCACTGTCTCATCTATTTGTTGCTTCCACAGTTCATTGTCTTCTCCGTTCACCCTACCTCAAAAGGCATCCGAGGGAGACCCCACGTGGCAATCTCAGAAGCTGCCACGTCGACAAATGCAAAACGTGCGTTTCATATTAAAATACGCACTCACATGGCTTCAAATTATTGCTAATTTTAATAACCAATAATTAATGTAATTAATTAAAACTTCATTTTTATGACTACGATAACTTTAATGTAGAACTAGATCTATCTGAATAGCTTATTAAAATTCTTAGACCAAGATTATCTTTGTTTTTTATTTTCAGCATAGTATAAAAGTTTAATAGAAATTAACGTTTAGATTAAAGATAATTTAATATGTTTTCAAGATGTTACATTGTTTAAAAGTTACTACTAGACAAAATTTAAATAATTTAGGTTTTCAAGGTCAAATATAACATAGGAAACAAACATGGTGAAGAAACTCCTAGAATCCCTCACGTTAGACACGGCCATCATAAGTAGGAAAAGGTTATCTCAGACATCATTATAACATCTTCTAGACTTTTTATTTTTTAATTTTCAAATTCTTCAATAAATTAAAATAAAGAAACATACTGGTGGCAAGTTTGGAGACAAATTTTAAATATTGGTTTTAGTTAAAAATGGTATTAGAAATGAATGTCCTATTAATGAATCTGTAATAGGTAAAATATTGATGAAATATTTATTTAAGACCATAATTGAGTTTTTTTATCAGTAATAAAAAAATACGTTAATTAAAAATATTTAGAGTGTTTCAATCCTTTTATATATAAAAAAAAATCCAATTGTTTTATAAAAAGTTCGAGAAAAAAGTTCAAACACTAAAAATACATACAGAAGTTTGGATAAAAAAATAAATAACAGATAAATACACTATAAACAACAGATTTTATAGATTTTATTTTCTATATTGTTAAACCAGTATCTCATTTGAGTTTTTCTTCTTCTATTTTACACTTTATTTTTGCAGTTATATCCTCCAAAAAAAATCACTGAAAATCACCACTACGATGAAGAAGAAATACTCTAACACTGTTTACTNTACACTTTATTTTTGCAGTTATATCCTCCAAAAAAAATCACTGAAAATCACCACTACGATGAAGAAGAAATACTCTAACACTGTTTACTAAATAGTATGAGATAAAGTTTACTGCATGTATAGTGATTTGGAAGTTTTGTTGAAGTTGTTTCCTTTGTATACTTTTGATATCATAATACATTCTTCGTTTCATCATTCCTTTATTGACTTAAAAGGGTTCAATTATTAGTCTACTTTTGTTATTTTCACATCATAGTATTTAACTTTCCGACGTCCTTTTAGTTTACACAGAATAAAAGATAGATATATAACGTTACTATGTTAAAGATATTGATACTTTCACAAATTTTTTTTTTTTTTACAATATTTTAATAGTATTTATGTGTTGATTCATCTAAAACTACTTCACAGTCAACAATAAAAATCATAAACACTAACATGAATCAATCACATGACACGTAAATAATGTTAAAATATTATCAAAATATTATTATCCATTTTATAATTAATTAAAAACAAAAATTAGTAAACTGATGTAAATACCATGGTTGAACAGTTATCTTTTTTTTAAGGAATTGTCTGATCTTTCAAAACAAACAATTTGAGTCTTAAATTGTTATATTATTATGAAAATGAAGAATATGATGAATACGAAGATGCAGTGTGAAGGATATGTTGTCTGCATGCATGGAAAATTGGAAATGACAAGAGGGCACGTTCAGTGGGGACTCATGTCCATACTGCAATCATCAAATATTCTTTTCGTTATAAACTGGGATTATAATAATAAATATAAGAAAATGAATAAAAAACATATGGTAATACAAAGCATTTAGAAAGTTGTTGTACTATTGATGACTGATATATAATTTTAAGAAAATTGCTGACAGTTGTATTTTTTTCAGCTTAGTAATTGTCAAAGTGTGTTGAGTATTCTTCAGTGGATGTTTTTCATACAAACAGACAAAAAATGAAACTTGTACACATTTTCTTCTTTCTTTATCACCTTTTTCTCAGTTTAAAAGAAAAGAACCTGATAAAACTGCTGCAAGATAAATATATCAAATGTCATACAATGTGTGAACAAAAAATTCGACTTTCATCATGCTAGAGTTTTATTTTAGAAATATATGGATTAAGTTTAAGATTTTCTATTTTGCAATTTTTCAATAAAATATCTCAAATATTTAACCTTTTTCACATTGAGGAGATAATTTTGTTTGTTGTTATCATAAATAGAAAATGGTACCAACAAAAAGCTTTCTTCTTTTATTTGTTTCAGAAATAAAGTTTCATTGTGAGTGTGAAAAAGCAGCACATGTGACAGAGTTAAAGAAAGGAATGGTTTCTGAATTTAATGGAAATGCAAGGTGCTGGGACAGTTATCTCCTCTTCTGCCCCCCACTTTCTTGTTTTATGTTTTGCTTTCTTTTTGTTTTCTATCTCTGCTTCATTTAAGAGATCAAAATTACAAGAATATAATAAGTTGTGTGATACTGCTGCATGTGCATCAATAATTAATTACAATTGGACAAGATATTTTGTTAGGTCAGTTTTGTAACCTACCCTATATGTTTCCTGCAGTTTCTAGACCACTAAAACAATAGGACACATTCCACACTATTCCCTAACCTTCCTCCACAGTACACTTTTCCTTTCTTTTTCATAACATCACATCCCAAGGTTGAACAAAGACTACCTTAGTAATTTCTATAGCTTCAAGAAAGAAATCAATGTATAACTACAATACAGGGATAGCTTCAAGTTATATTAGGACATCCCTAAAATGCAATACTTCAAAAGCAAAATTATTTCATATATAATAGACATATACAGCTCTACAACAGAATTTATGGCCATGTCCATCTTCAACCTTCAATATGCACAATATGTGTTACTTGCTAAAAGAAGTTACAAAAACTATGGAATTTCAGCATCTGAAGAACCGTTGTCGTTGCTCTTTGGTGGCGATTCCCTCTTTTACAATTAACCATAGCACCGAATTGGATCATTGCAACCTTTAGCAGCAGATTGCCCAAAACCAAACCGACCCCCTTTCTCAAGGTACTGTTGGTGGTACTCCTCTGCTCTGTAGAACTTCTTGGCAGGAAGAATCTCGGTAACAATCTTCCTGTTCAGCTGCTTCTGCTGTTGTTCCACGGACTCCCTGGCAGCCTTCTCTTGCTCCTCCGTGTAGTAGTATATTCCAGATCTGTACTGAGTTCCCACATCATTCCCCTGCCACAGAAGACAAGATTAAATGGTAACTAAGTGCACAAGAACTAGAATGTTCAATTCATGTGTGTGCAGCAGCATATCATTACTTACCATATTTTTGGAAGTTCCTGTATGCATGGATTTGGATGAAAGAGTGAATCCAAGAAATAAAAGTATGCATGCATATTGAAATGGAAGATTTGAAAATAAATAAAATATATTGAAAGGGGGGAACAGAAGAGTTCTAACTTGGACAGAAGAAACAGAGGGTGAGACAATTATATCATAAAATTAACTATTTTAACTTTAAAATGAAAACTAAAAAATTGTGTGATCTCTACAGAAATATAAATAATTTTCCAGCCTCTGAGATCAACAGGAAAACATTGAAAAATGTCAGTGTTTCACACTTTTATAATGTCCCTACTCCAAACCCCTCCAAAGGAAAGAGAAATGCATCACTCAACCAAATACTTCTGGATATAAACCTAGGGATGCCAATTAGTTTATTTATCCACTGATCATCCAATCTATCCATGCCTAAATCCAATCAATCTGCACAATCATACAAGCAATACTAAATGGATTGGATCAACAACTATTACTAGATGTAATCATCCCTCATTTTAAAACGAATGAATTGTATATCTATCCATGATAAGTTATTGATGGATGAGTAGGACTTTTTTAATTAAATAAGTCATGGATGATCGGTTTTTTATTAAGTAGTAAGACATCATAAGTGAACTAGAAAATTATTTTTTACCCATCCATTTGAAACCAACTTAACCTCTCCAATCCTTCCATTTCACACCCTTGGTATCAACATCCGCAGAGAGCAAATAAAAGGCTACAATTGCCTAAACAACTATTACAAAGAGACCCCATGAATTTTATTTGACCCATATTACAACAGAATTTACAAAACAAGACTCAACTAGATATCAAAACATAAACGTATCTGTTAAATACTGGCAAGTGTCAACAAAGAGAGAACCTCTTATTCAAATCAGCAAAGTCTAGATATATCAATCAGAAACCACTTTGACAACCTCCATTTAATCAGAAACCAAAAACTTTATATTTACCTGTCTATTCAGAGTAGTAGGATCATGCCTAGCCCAGAACAAATCAAGCAGAGACTCATAGCTACAATTTTTGGGATCGTATTGAACCCTTACAACCTCTGAGTGATTTGTGGTCCCCGTACAAACATCTTCATAGGTTGGATTGTGCACAAGCCCCTGAGTGTAACCAACCTCTGTCTTGGTCACCCCAGGCACACTTTGGAAGGCCAACTCAACACCCCAAAAACAGCCAGCACCAAACTGGGCAAACTGCTGGCCTGCTGCTGGTATGTCATCATCTGGACCCTGAGGAATGGATGAATCCAAGTTCTCTGGTGCCCTTGCGCTGCCAAATCCAAGTTTGTTCAATAGGTTCATGGAGGGCTTGTTCACAGCAATGCAAGGACGAGTTTGGGAAAATAAGCCAGAACGCTTGACAGAAAACCTAGAAAGTGAGGGAAGGAACTTGGTTTTCGAAGGACTGGAGAGGGAAGAAGAAACAAACACTGAAAGGGAATTGGATGTGGTGGTATAGCTGCTGCTGATTGCTGCTAAGCATTTTAGTAGCATGAGAATCCTTTTCTAGAATAAATAACCAATTCAAAAATGCACTTGTATATATGAAAGAAACAAAGGAGCCACCAAATCAGGATGCCAAAACTGAAGTTACAAATTTCAACAAATAATCAAAAGCTTAAAACTTAATCTTGAATGACTTATGTTGATCCATACGGGGCTATCTGTTATTACTATAGCACATGGCGCCTGTATATTAGCAATGAAAAATGTTTTACAACGATCAAGGATCATTTGAACTAATAAAACAATTATTCTCTAATATAACTACAAGGATGAATGACAAAAACAAACAAATTATACCATCCACCCATACGTTCATATTGAGTGAGATCACAAATTTTATATAGGAACGAAAAGGGAAAACACAGTGGATGCCTTTGACTTGAACAAATATTTTCCGTTGTCATTTTGAATTCTTACACATAATTACAAAAATATAATCAAATATTTACTTTGTTCCCCCATCCCAAGGACCAAATATAATTTATTGACCACCGAACGTGCAAAATTTTTATAATTATGAAAATAAAAAATGAATGCAGAAAACGTTTTCTCAAGACTTAAACCAAACTCAAACTCCCACAACTATATATTCTAGTCCTAATCACATATACTCTCCCTCTGACCTTAGGGATATTTTTATTATACCATCTGTATGTACGCGAATGACCCCAAGAATGGACCACGATTCCACAAGCTGCAGACTCATATACAACTCTGCCTACTGTTCAACATTGATTTAACACTTGAAATTGCCACTCTATTTTATTCAAATTAAAAAATCAGCTGAAACTTTTCCTTTCATACATGTAGATAAAAACAAGTCTTTGTTACGAGATAAAGAAGTTATTTACGGTTTAACTATTAGCACTCACTTGGGGGAAGATAAAAAGACATACATAGTACTTTTATAAGCTTATTATTTCCGTCAGGCTAGCTGCGCAACAAATGGAAATTCGTATTGGGTAAAAGATTGTGATAACAAACAAATATTATATCTTCTTCATGCTCCAATGCTTCACAGAAATTGGGAATTGAACCAGAGTCACTTACAACACAGTAAAATAAAACCAAACTCACGTGGCCCAGAATTTTTAATAGAATTGGGAACATGAACATGAAGGAAATGTGTCCCCCAAATAGTAAATGAAACGAAATCCAATATCAACCCATACCTGCTCCACAAATTCTCATCTTCAACCCTTCAACAAATTACTCGAATCAATCTCCAAACAATAACAATAAGAATAATAAAGACAACTTTTTTAACACTATAAAGAAAAATTGAACAGAAATTAAAAGAGCCCACGATCCCCTTTTTTCTTAAAGATTAAAGGGAAAAGGGTAATGGGAGAGATAGTTTTGAAAAAACAAGAGAGAACAAGTAACTGAATAATGGAAAAAAAAAAAGAAAAAAAAAA